GCTATTACTATAAGGATACGTTCTACGTAACTCTTTCTCTAATTATGTTTTGCAAGTGTTGCTGAGTGCACTAAAGGAATTTTGAAGGTTTTCTTTATCTCTAATCACAGGACAGGTTAATAGCTTCTTTCTTTGTCTCTTATGATGAGTCTTTGTACTGCAGTTTCATTACTTTGACTATATAAATCGTTTTAAGATCAAACTGTAATATGACTTTTAAAACTTATACTCTTTCTCCAATTATGTTTTGCAAGTGTTGCTGAGTGCATTGATGGAAGTTTAAAGATTTTATTTATCTCCATTGACAGGACAGGTTAGTAGCTTCTTTCTTTTTGTCTCTTTTGTTTGTTTATTTTTGTCTGGTTGGTTTGTTGTTAATGCTGTTAGGTTGTTTCAAACATACTGTTTTGTTTTGAGTTTGTTTATATTGTTTTAATATATGTGAATTGTTTCTCTCTAGCTCTAAAAGAACGTATGTATATTTGTGTCTGAATTGTTTTAAATTACAAAGTTATTTTTTGATGTGTCTGATTTTTTCAATAACTCTGTTCTTATATGATGTTAAGGATACTAAAGGTTTTAAATTAAGCTTATATCATATAATGCTGGACAAAGATTGGGTGCATCTTTGCAGGTATTAAATTTAATTATATAGATGTTAAGTTTTCAATAGGGGTTTGTAGATTTTTTTATTTCTTTCTTTTTATTTTTTTCTCTCATTCTAAAATGAAGAGCTGATCCAGCTTATCAAAGAGGGGTTTCAGATTTTGTAAGAGTTGTGTCTGCGGCTTTGGTAGATGGTGATATGATTGTATGTCCTTGCATCGACTGTCGTAATATCGATCGTCACATAGGAAGTGTCGTAGTTGACCATCTTGTTAAAAGAGGTATGGATGAGGATTATAAGCGGCAGTCTGATTGGTATCATCATGGAGAGTTAACTTCTGGGGTTGAAAGTGACCGTAACTTCAGTCAACTGGCTGAGATCTATGGGTTATATCAAGCTGTTGAG